AAGAATGCTAATTATTGATATAAAATGGATATTTTTTGAAAAAAAAGCCTACTCTGATCGAAACCAAATTTGATTTAAATTGCATTTTAAAACATATCTAGGTCTTATAAATGATAAATAATGCTAATATTGATATTAAATCGATATTTTTCGAAAAAAGCCTCCTATGATCAAAACCAAAATTGATTTAAATTGCATTTTAAAACATATTCAAATATTATAAATGATAAAGAATGCTAAAATTGATATAAAATCGATAATTTTTGAAAAAAAAAGCCTACTATGATCGAAACCAAATTTGATTTAAATTGCATTTTAAAACATATCTAGGTCTTATAAATGATAAATAATGCTAAAATTGATATAAAATCGATAATTTTTGAAAAAAAAGCCTCCTATGATCAAAACCAAAATTGATTTATATTGCATTTTAAAACATATCAAGGTCTTATAAATGATGAAAAATGCTAATATTGATATTAAATCGATATTTTTTGAAAAAAAAGCCTACTATGATCGAAACCAAATTTGATTTAAATTGCATTTTAAAACATATCTAGGTCTTATAAATGATAAAGAATGCTAATATTGATATAAAATCGATATTTTTTGAAAAAAAGCCTACTAGATCGAAACCAAAAGTGCTTTAAATTGCATTTTAAAACATATCCAGGTCTTATAAATGATAAATAATGCTAATATTGATATAAAATCGATAATTTTTGAAAAAAAAGCCTACTATGATCGAAACCAAAATTGATTTAAATTGCATTTTAAAACATATCTAGGTCTTATAAATGATAAAGAATGCTAATATTGATATAAAATCGTTATTTTTTGAAAAAAAAGCCTACTATGATCGAAACCAAAATTGATTTAAATTGCATTTTAAAACATATCTAGGTATTTTAAATGATAAATAATGCTAATATTGATATAAAATCGATAATTTTTGAAAAAAAGCCTACTATGATCGAAACCAAAATTGATTTAAATTGCATTTTAAAACATATCTAGGTCTTATAAATGATAAATAATGCTAATATTGATATAAAATCGATAATTTTTGAAAAAAAAGCCTACTATGATCGAAACCAAATTTGATTTAAATTGCATTTTAAAACATATATAGGTATTTTAAATGATAAATAATGCTAATATTGATATTAAATCGATATTTTTCGAAAAAAGCCTCCTATGATCAAAACCAAAATTGATTTAAATTGCATTTTAAAACATATTAAAATATCATAAATGATAAAGAATGCTAATATTGATATAAAATCGATATTTTTTGAAAAAAAAAGCCTACTATGATCGAAACCAAATTTGATTTAAATTGCATTTTAAAACATATCTAGGTCTTATAAATGATAAAGAATGCTAATATTGATATAAAATTGATATTTTTTTGAAAATAGCCTACTATGATCAAAACCAAAAATGCTTTAAATAAAATTTTAAAACATATCTAGGTATTTTAAATGATAAATAATGCTAATATTGATATTAAATCGATATTTTTCGAAAAAAAGCCTCCTATGATCAAAACCAAATTTGATTTAAATTGCATTTTAAAACATATCTAGGTCTTATAAATGATAAAGAATGCTAATATTGATATAAAATCGATAATTTTTGAAAAAAAGCCTACTATGATCGAAACCAAAATTGATTTAAATTGCATTTTAAAACATATCTAGGTCTTATAAATGATAAAGAATGCTAATATTGATATAAAATTGATATTTTTTTGAAAATAGCCTACTATGATCAAAACCAAAAATGCTTTAAATAAAATTTTAAAACATATATAGGTATTTTAAATGATAAATAATGCTAATATTGATATAAAATCGATAATTTTTGAAAAAAAGCCTACTATGATCGAAACCAAAATTGATTTAAATTGCATTTTAAAACATATCTAGGTCTTATAAATGATAAAGAATGCTAATATTGATATAAAATCGATAATTTTTGAAAAAAAAGCCTACTATGATCGAAACCAAAATTGATTTAAATTGCATTTTAAAACATATCTAGGTCTTATAAATGATAAATAATGCTAATATTGATATTAAATCGATATTTTTCGAAAAAAAGCCTCCTATGATCAAAACCAAATTTGATTTAAATTGCATTTTAAAACATATCTAGGTCTTATAAATGATAAATAATGCTAATATTGATATAAAATCGATAATTTTTGAAAAAAAGCCTACTATGATCGAAACCAAAATTGATTTAAATTGCATTTTAAAACATATTTAGGTCTTATAAATGATAAAGAATGCTAATATTGATATAAAATCGATAATTTTTGAAAAAAAAGCCTACTATGATCGAAACCAAAATTGATTTAAATTGCATTTTAAAACATATCTAGGTCTTATAAATGATAAAGAATGCTAATATTGATATAAAATCGATATTTTTTGAAAAAAAAGCCTACTATGATCGAAACCAAAATTGATTTAAATTGCATATTAAATCGATATTTTTTGAAAAAAAAGGCCTACTTTGATCAAAACCAAAATTGATTTAAATTGCATTTTAAAACATATCCAGGTATTATAAATGATTAAGAATGCTAATATTGATATAAAATCGATATTTTTTGAAAAAAAAACATATCCAGGTATTATAAATGATAAAGAATGTTAATTTTGATATCATATCGATATTTTTTGTGAAAATAGCCTCCTATGATCAAAACCAAAAATGCTTGAAATTGCATTTTTAAAACAAATCCAGGAAATTTATATTATATTTCGTCATAATTGAACACCTCTCTTAGAACTATCATTCCTTATTAAGGGGGGTCTCACCATTAAGTGCAGTAGTTCAACATATCCTGATCAATCTTATCCAGTGTAATTTCAGATTCATTTCAGTAAACCGACCGGGGGAGGGTGGTAATATCTAAAACTTCAAATAATATTCTACAAGTAAATACCCCTTCTGCAGAAACAAAAGCTAATAAAAGATCAACAACCCTAAAAGCTTCAAACTCACAAATAATTTAAAAGATACTAGCTTAGCAGCGATACGAGAAACAAAATGGATATATTACATTATATTATTTTCTTAATTAAATTTTCATAATTTCATTTAAATGTTAACAAAACAAAATCAAGCCACGGTTTTTGCACTCACGAAATATTTTAAATTTCTTTGAAGCATCACAAGCACAATGAAATTATTTTTATTAATTAATTTAAAATTCTGTCTGTCTCTTCGTGATGAAAATAGAATTAAATTGACTTTAAATTTCTTGAAATTCTTCTTTTTTTCTATCTGAATAAACGGAATAATAATTTTTTTTGGTAAAAAGTCAACTCAAGTTTTGTTAAAAATTAAAATTATTCATGAAGTTTTTTTTATTCGTGTTCGACAAAAAAGAAGAAAAGGAGATGTGACATTTCGCTTCATAACAAAATGATAAATTACAACTTTTCTTATTGTTTCAAAAAATTTATTTTTGCTCTTTGTTTTTGTATATTTTTTCAACGCAGTGGAAAAAGTGAATGATATAAATCATTAATGGGAGGGAATTGCTGCAATTTATTATTAAAGTCTGCAAATCGGTTGACGCGTTTCTCGAATTTTTACTGAGAATTAAATAAAAGCATCATGCTTACAATTTGGATTTAAAACGACGCCAATTCATAGTCACTTTAAGTAAGTAACCTTCAAACTAGTAGGATGTTTTAAAATTCATTTTCGGATCTCTTGCAAGGACTTCTCAACACATCTGTGGAACTTTGACGGCACACATTTTGAGAACTGCTGATCTTTTTTAACCATATTTGTTTTACTGAATTGCGAATCCGCACTTTTAGAATCACAAAGATTAAAATAGACAAAACTGAAGTTCTTTCGAAAACTTAAAGCTACAGTTTTTTAAGTTATCTTGATAGATATCAATGAACTTATTGGCATTAAAATTGCATAAAATTGTATTAAAGTGTTTTAAAGGATCAGATCTTTCAATCTTTTGTAATCGATCAAAACAGATATCATCTAAGGAGAAGGGTTTAAATAACAAGAAAAAATTGCCTGTTGACAATCTGTTTCTGACATCGGTAATTCAATGCAAAGAGTGAAGAGTTAAGATGAATCGAAAGTGGTCAGCTTTACTTCTTAATACTAAGCATAATTCTTAATTTAATGAATAACAAACGTTTATCTTGGATGTTACCTCCAAAAATCTTGAGAAATTAAGGTGAAATTCTTCGTTACTGCTGATAAATCTTACGCAATCTTAAACCAACTTGAAAGTTCAAGTGTTGAAATGAAAATTAAATAAGTGACTGTCTTGTTGTTTTTTTGTAGCCTAAAGCTTCATATTTCAACATCTCAAACAAGAGCTAAAGCAGATTTTTCGAACCAACGTCATGATTTCTTTGAATCATTTCCAAAAAAAACATCGTAGAACAAGAAAACTTGCTTTTGAGACTGAAAAAAGCTTTGACACGAATGTGAAAAGTCATTAAGAAGAAAGTTAAATTTTAATTATCGGAATTAAGAAAATTATTCAAGTCAGAAAAATATTCGTGCAGAAAAAAAAGAATAAAAGTTTTCAATTGATTTAATGAAATTCAGAAAATTTTCTTTTCTCTTCGTGGAAGTTAGGAAAGCAATGGATTCATAAGAAAATTGAGTCTCAAGAAGTTAAAATTATGAAAAGTTACAGCAGTTTTTTCTTATCACAAAACAAATTTCTTCCCACGAGCAAGATCCTGACTCTTGTCTTTATTTAATTTCTGGTATCATACCGTTAACTTTAATTAAGAAACAGCAAGAATCTTTTATTTTAAAGAATAAAAGGAATGAGAAAAGGAACAGCGCGTGTTGATGTTCAAGAATTTCAATATAAAAGAGATTTTTGAATGACGTCGATTCAGATTCACGGATAAATCAAAGGGTTAAAATTCAATGTAAATGGAAACGATTTGTAAAAATAAAGAAAATTAAATTAATTAATTTTAGCTTACCTGCCATAAAGCTGTATAAAAACCGAACGTAACGCACTGATGGAACTCTTCCATGAATGGTCCTCGAACAACACGAAATATAAAACCCTAAAAATGACAAAAGAAATGGAAATATTAGAGATTTTGTTAAGGCACGATAGATTCAAATAATAGAAATCTTAAAGCGCAGTTTTGAGTCATCAATACTAATAGCTTGTCCAAAAAGAAGAACACAAATTCTTCAGATTCTTACAAAATTGCGCTAAAATAATCATGCTTGAATCGCTCAATTCTTTGATTCCTTAAAACATTGAAAAGATGATAATTGAGTTTTATGAATTAAAACTTTTTTCCCTCTTTGTAGGAAGAACATCCTCTTCACAACTACTCAAACATGTAATTATTTTAATTATTTTGAAAATTCCAACTCTTATGGAAGTGCTTCAATGAAAAGATTAACAAAACTCTTGATTTTGTTTAGAAAATGTTTCTTTGAGAGCTTCTTTTGATTTTATATTTTAATTAAATTGGAGATTTTTCTAGATTAGTCTTCTAATGTCAATTAAATAATCTTCTTTTTGTTCACATTTTGAGGCAAAAATCCGCTTTCAGTTCCTATTAATGGCCAGCATTTAAATTATTTTTGTCGAAATGTGGGTTGACAAAACATTAACGGAAGTAGCCAATGTATATTTTGAATAAAAATGAATGATGTCTAATATTGCTGTCATTAAAATGCTTTGAAAAATGTATTCAAAAAATTTAAACGGCTTTTGAAATTTTAAATAATTTTTTGAATATTTTTCACCAATTTTAAAAATAGAATTCCCGTTACTAGTCATAAATTCCTCAACATTTAATTATGCTTTGATGTCAAAGATATTACTGTAATTTACTTTCAAATTAAAATTTGTTTACTTCCTTTACATGTTCAGTTACATGAAATTGCCTTGAACCTTAGAACTTTTTTTCCTTTTTTGCTTCATAATATTTCAAAACAACCAAATTCTTTTAAAATTGTGCGTAATTAAATTTTTTACCAATTTCTTCACATCTTTTTGGCAAAAAAATTCAAAATAGCTTCTCATTCCACAATGTTCGCACCTCTTCCTTTTCCCTTGATACTTAGTATTTACTTTTTTAGGGTTGGAAGGTTAAGAAAAAAAGTACAATATTCATTTAGAAACATGTCTTTTGAAATTAATGCCTTGTAATTAACAGCTCCTTTGACTTGACTAATTTCTTTTATACTTATAGTCTTATGTTTCGTTAAAGAGAATTTAATCCATGATTAAAGACGCCAATGTGAAGAGATTGAATCTTGGTGACATGATTTTATGTGAACTTTATTTTGGAAAGTTTGTGAGCTTGAAAAGTTATTGAAAAGTTCATTATTAATTTTGTAACATACTTAATTACGTTCGATGCTACAATCTTCTTCAATAAAATGCCAAGCTAAATGCTAAATCCATAAAATTAAAGATTTATCGCAGAACTTGCTTTAAGCAAAGTAGAACATGATAATTACGAAAAGTTAAATTATGTCGTTAACAAGATAATTTGCAGATGTCGGAACAATAAGTTTGCTTCAGAAAAACAAAGTTGGACAACACCTTAAATTATCATTCAATTATCAAGTTCAGTATAAATCAATACTTTTTATTATGAATGAATGAATGAACTGAAAACAGAACGACTATTAAATAAAAGAAGCTGTTCTTTTGAGATCGGCGGTAATACAAATTGTTCGTATAGCTTGGGAATACACACAAGCGTAAATTTCTGAATAGACATAATAATTTTTGCTGTGGTTCTATATCTCATGCGCCCTTTTTTTTGTATATCATAAATCCTTACAACAAATAAAGTATAAAATCAAGGCGTATACACTCGGGATTTTTGGGATTAATCCCAAAAAATCCCAGAAAATCCCAAAAATCCCAAAAAATCCCGAAAAATCCCAAAAATCCCAAAAAAATCCCAAGTTTCCTACAAAAATCCCAAAAATCCCAAAAATCCCAAAAAATCCCAAAAAATCCCAGAAAATCCCAGCAGAAATATATCATAAACAACATTCTAATCAAAAAATAAGTTGTTAATTAAAGGAAAATTTGAAATATTTTGTTCGCGGATTATGAAAATAAACGTTTTTGCGTTGCACTTGTACAGAAATTGAATTAAAATTCCTCATTTTTCTACTAAATGGTACTTAATAAGTGCTTTTAAGGTATATTAAGCATGCACAATGATAAAATTTTAATTTGTTAATAATTATTAAGTTAATTTTTGGATAAAATTTCAGAATTCAACATTCTGTACAAGTACAACGCTTACAAAAAGTCAAATATTTTCTTAATTAAAGCATGTAGAAGAAACCAATATCAACGCAACGATACAGTTTACCATTTTACATAAGTGTTTTGTGTCCTTGATAGCTTAAAATCTTACAAAAAAGAATTGGAAAAATCTTAAAATACTATCCTAATTACAAAAAAAAATTGCCAAAAAAGCATGAAATTTTCAACTTTTGTATTTTTATCTATGCTGGTCGCAGTTCTGTATGCATTTTGATCCACTCAAATATCTATAACTTTATTCAGAATCAATATTTTGCAATCCGTTTTCGGTTATTGCTAGATTAAATCAGTACCTTTAAAATGGTGTATAAAATTTGTATGAAACTTATACTTCTTATGGAAAAGTTTTTAATGTGACCGACGCAAGCTGAAATTTAACAAAATAGCGAAAATGAAAAATTTTTGATAGGTAACCATATAAAAGTAATCGGCCTGTTTCACATTCATTTCTGTATATGTACTTTAAACTTTTGATTTTCGGTAAGAAGTATTAATCATTCAATTTTCTAGCCAAATCGAGTAGATTAACTTCGATTTTTGTTATAATTCTCAAACTAATGAAGATATAAAAATTCTAAGTACATGTTGATTTAAGGAGAAAAGTACTCTAACTAGATCACACATTAGATCTCTTAATAACCTTGAGCGTCTGGAGAAATTTCCACAAAACTGAAGTAGATAATCCGAAATCGAGGATAATATACTTTAGTGAAACAGGCCGAATGTGTTTTGTCTCAGATGTGTTTTAATATGAAATATCAATGTCTACTAGGGTCATACCTTAAAAGCTACCTTTTACCTGAGATAGCAAAAAGTTTATGAAATGTAAATTTTTGAGTTAAAATAGTCATAACTATCATAAATCATCATAAAAAACTACAAATCAATACTTAAATTTGTTTCTAAGTGATATTTCTAGAAATGACGTTTTTGAAATTTTTCTTCGTTTTGGGTCGGTCACAAACCAGGCTTATTTTCATGACTAAGATCAAACTTAACTATCAAGTTTTATACATCATTTGAAAGGTACTGATTTAAGCTATAATAAAATAAAAACTGAATTAAAAAATATTTATTTTTTTGTAAGAGTACTGGTGGTTTGAGTGAAGAAAAAAACATACAAGTCGTCAGATATCAAAAGTACCCTATATCTCGACCAATTTTGACTTTTTTGAAAAAAATTCTTCAAAGTTCATCTTTAAATAACGTTTAAAATCACAATAAATTTATTTTGCACCTGATTAAGCCAAAGTTGAATACAGTTTTGGATTTAAAAGTCAAGAGCTACACGGTGATATATGGTTTTTAGGATAGAAGTTGGGCATTTACGATGGTTGCGGCACGTTTAAAGATATTTTTCCTTGGATTTTCATACATTTGCTAGCATAAGTGTATCTTTATAATACATCATCATAAAGCTCTTATTTGATACTTTTGAAGAATTCAAAACTTTTTTTTGATATCTTTATCTACTGAAGAGATTTTTCAGTTTTAATGAAAAAAATCAAAATTTTCACTTGTTTAACTTCAAACAGCCACATAATTACAAAAAAATTTAAATTTTGACCCATAATGCAAGTACGTGAATTAGGCATGGTAATCGAACGTATTAATATGAGTTTACTTACTGAAGATTCGCAAAACGCAATCAACATACGAGATGATATTGATTCTGAATTTCTTTTGAAAGATTATTTAGAAGATAAGAATGTTACATTCAAGACATCAAATATTGGCGTTGATCAAGAAATTGATGTTCAAGATGTTCATCAATTCCCAAATGGCTTAATAATAACAAATATAAATTTTTGAAGGAATAATTCCAAAGCAAATTCTTAATTAATAGGAACTTATCAAGGCAAACAAATCATGATTACTAAAAACACCGATACAACCAGACGATATATAGAAAAAAGATGTATAAATTTGACAAGTATCAGAAAAGGAACTGATTTGGGAAGAAAAGGAAATAGGACGTGGTGATCATAGTATTATACATGAAAATGGAATATTGGGAACAGAAAGAGTTTTAAATATGAATTACTCTAACAAAAAGGCAAAAAAGGATAAAAAAATTTTATGAGATTTTGTAACAATTTACAGTTTAAGAGCTAAAGGTTGACAGCTTATTATGTTGTTAATGAACAAATTGTGGAACTACACAAAAATGTGTTTTACAGCGTTAGCAGTTAATCTGTTACACAAGTGAACCAGAACAAGATTTACCAACAGAATATGTAAAAACTATTAATTTATATTGATGATGAATAAGTTTTTATACCATGAAATAACTCTCTTAAAAATTTTAGAGCAAATTTTCAAGATTTTTACTTCCATAAAAGGAATTAAATTTTTTAAAATATTAAAAATCCCAAAAATCCCAGAAAAATCCCAAAAATCCCAGAAAAATCCCAAAAATCCCAGAAAAATCCCAAAAATCCCAAAAATCCCAGGTTTTCTACAAAAATCCCAAAAATCCCGAAAAATCCCAAAAAATCCCAACTTTTTTTTCGAGTGTATACGCCTTGTATAAAATATAAAAGAATGAAAAGAAATGACAGCATAAGGGGCCATTCACTTATTACGTAACGCTTTTAGGGGGGGAGGGGGGTCTAAGATTTTGTTACGGTTCAGACAAGGAAATTTTTTTTTCATACAAATTTTGTTACGAGGGGGGGGGGGGTCTAAAAAGTAATTTTTTCGCGTTACGTAATAAGTGAACAGCCCCTAAAGAAAAGAGAGAATAATAAT